TAGCATAAAATCCTACTCAAAATGAGGATTCTGAGGAATTCCTGGTGCTACCTAAAAAGGCAAGCCAGCAAGATATTTTGAGAATTTCCTACCATTTTTGCATAGCAAAATGCACTGAGAATCTTATTTAAATCTCAAACTTCCTCAAAGATCACTGCTAGTCTCCCATTGGCCAATGCTTAACACAGAAAGTTCCCAAAAATTTGACATTTTTGGTATTTTTCGGGATCTTCAACAGCAGTCGATAGAGCATCGAATTCCACACGGATCGCTGCTAGCCTACCCCAGTTTCTCCTCCTAAGCACCTACAGTAATGCTTCGGCAACAAATGGAAATTTGCATAAACCTACAAACAGTTTGCATATGATTCGATAGCCGAGCTGAGTGCACTCCTGGAAAACATGGCTAATCCGCACTCGGGCTTTTCGGAGGGCAGGGGATGCAAATTATCGGGGGACAATGGTGGTGGGGAGAGCCCAACAAGGGCCACCAATTGAATCAACCATTCCATGCCGTAATCGGTCATCGTGGATGCGGCATGCCTGTTGACAGTCGCTAGCAAGGGGTGGCCTCAAGAATCTTAACACTTGCCCAAAAGGTGGGCCATATTCAGGGCTGGTTGGGCTGAAGAGCTCTGGAAAGAAGGGATGTAAATCAAGGGATGTCATGGTATTGGTTGGATTTATCAATCGGGAAGAGGGAAAATCGAAATATTTACATGGTTTAAAATCTTCAAGAATTCACTTTTAAGAACCTCGTGCACCAATTTTTTGGATTATATTCTAGAATAATTTGTATTATTTATACGGTTGTTTAAAATGTAGTTAAAATCGCTAAAGTGGATCGTACAGGCGACAAATTTTGAAGGAAAGAATTTAGGAAACTCTATGAATTTTTTAAAATATCCCTTTATATTTTCAAGAATAGTATGGGAAAGCATTCTCTCATTTAATTAGCTATAATGGTAACTTCTATATTTAGATCTATATCCACTTTTCCATCCTCTATTCCAGCGGAAACGGCGTCCAGTCAGTCCAAAGACATTCTGCACGGTCTGCACCGCTGGAGGAGCTGCGCATCTCCAGAAATGGGCCTCCTATTTGCCGCCATCAGTGTTTAGGCAAATGATCTATTCAGATTTATATACCTCTTATGCACTCCACCGAACTATCCAATTCTCTGCCTTGGACCACAATCGACTGGTCGATCTGCTGCAGCATTTGAGCGATCGTTACCAAAGCTGAAGCAGCTGAACGCGCGATCGAATCTATTGGCTAACGGGAGTTTACTAACGACGACTAATGAATTATAAATCTGCCAAAACTACAATCCGTTTTTCAGATCGAAACTGGTAGCTTTGTGGAGAATGGACTCTCGAATCGCTCGACCTATCCGAGAATATGATCGTCAACATCGATGATGCGGCCTTTAACGGGCTACAGAATTTGAGGAAGCTGAATTTGACCAATAATCAGGTATGCAAATAATCGACGCAAAAAAATTCTATACCTTAAAAGACCTTTTAGAGTCTAAACAAAAAACCCGCTCCTTCAAATAAACTCTTAGGGCTCGTCCCGACCCCCGGCAAAACATGGCATCAGCTCGCTGGAGACTGCGCGTGACCCCTGGCAACCTCTTCGTTGCGTGCTGGAGACGGCTTCTTTTGAAGGCCTACCGCTGCGTGTGCCCTGAACCTGTCCAACTCGCGGAACCTCAACACCATCCATGTATGTTTTTCACGTCTAGCCCAAAAATAAGCATATGCCGAAGCCTGCCTAATCCTACGCCAACAACATACTCAAGACAATACGCTAAGAATTCGGGTTAAGGGACACCCTTGGCCCTGGGGGTGATTTATGGGTGGTGGTAGTGGATGAGGGTCGAAGAGGCCTGTATGCAAATGAGCATGGGCGATATTTCAATGAGACGAGTTTCATTGGTCCCATCAATGCTAGGTGAAAGCAGGGAATTGAGCGCTGGAACCAGGGTCGTGGGAGGACCGTAGAAATCTGAGGTGCAGCTCACCCACTCAACATCTTAGATGGGCGCTTCTGTCTCTTTGGACGGTCTGCGCTGGATATCGCTGGCTGGTTCTCAGCTATCGTCTATCTCCAATACGGCGTTCAGTCCAGTACCACCTCTGATTACCTGATCTATCAGGATAATCAGGCAATCAAAAGCGTTTACAACCGTGAGCCTGATCTCAACCTCGACTTTGGCCCTACGATTTGGACATACCTTCAAAGCAATGCCACCAATGCTACCCGTTAAATTCTCGATCCTAACGTTCTATGTTTTAGCAGCCTGTCTCCCTCCCTCAACTGCTGTCCACTGGTCCCTGAATCCGGGATCTCCGGTTCAATGGAAACCCCTGGGAATGGGACTGCGCCCTACCATTGTTCTGAGCTGAAGAAGGCCGTGAGCGGTAGGTCATTCTATTCAATGGAATTTGCCTTATTAGGGAAAACAGACTACGCTCCGAACCAAATTCCGGAACGAAGGTAGCGGATTTCCGTAGAAGTCGAGGAGCGAATAGGGGGAACTGTTTGATATAAGTTAGCAAACTCAGCTCATTCGAAAGCGCTTGAACAACTCAGCAAGATGCGAAATTTAAAACTTGCATTTTTGCGAAACCATAGCGTTTTATTTTCCATCGTTAAATCAAGAATTAGCAGACATTGGCATGATTTCTTCCGCGCGGAGCGATTTCGGGAAACCGTTTCTCTTGCTCAGCTTTTCAAGTGCTTTAGAATGAGCTAGGTTTCGTCCCAAAAAACACCATTTGCATTTAAAGTCTCCTTGTAAAAGCTCTGGATAACACTGCAAAGTTACATCCCTGAAAATAAATTTAAAATAAGAAGTCTTGTCAATCGGGATTTGTCCTTCTGACGAGACCTACAAATAAATCCTGTGAATCAGCAATTCGTGCACCACAGACGACTTAAAGATTAGGGTCTAAAATGGCAAACGAATAAGGTCCTAATTTCAGCCCCATTCTGGAACGCCAACTCCTAGGTGTGCACCCGGCCCTGAGTCGAACATCGGACTCCGCGTCGACAGCCTATCAACCTGCTCCCCATTCCTGGGGGCCTCTGTCGTTCCTCTCTATCCTCGGTCTCATCAAAGGCCTCGTCCTCGCGGTCATGTCCTTTGGCCCTGGCCATCCACCGCCGGGTCCCTCTCCAGCAAAAGAACGACTTCTTCACTGCTTGTTTCTCCCATGACGCGGCCTACGCATTCGATCGCCCGTTCATCTCCCCAACACCATCTACCGGCTCCTCGCATCACCGTGAAATAGCAGGTGCGAAACGAATACCTATCAGAAATTCGAATTTTCATAATCTCGGATTTTCAAAATCTCGAATTTGCAGAATTCGAATTTGCGGGAATTGAATTTTGAGAATCTCGTAATATGCCTATGCTGGATTCAGGGCGCGGGGTGCAATTTCGGAATCCATGGTCCGTTCAACTGATCAAATGGAAAACTGATTAAACCATGGAAATTTCTGAGATTATGAAAATTCGAGATTATGAAAACTCGAGATTTTGAAAATTCAAGATTCTGATTTTCGAGGTTCTGATTTTAGAGATCCTGATTTTCCAGATATTGACAGATTCCCGTGCGAAAACATCACACGTTTTCAAACCCTTAATTTCAGGAATCATACTACGAAGCCCCTACTGCGGCCGCTCAAAGCCTTCCATATGCCCCGGCCTACTACCGATCTCTATATGGGCAATTGCCGAGCACGCATTACACGATGGGAAAAGGAATTCACAGCGCGAATAACACGTACCGACCGGTAGGTGTCTGTTTCACGTTAAAAACACCAAAAAATTATTTATAGCATCGCTTTAGTAACGAGCAAAAACCATAAAATATTATAAACTACAAATACTAAAAGAATACCCTAAAAAAACAAGTCCATTTTGTCCCTGGAATATCTCTGATCTCTTCTCCGATCTTCTTTTCATTTCAAAAAAATTACTATACTGGAAAAATATATTTCTTTTCGAGCTTGAAGTTTTTCTGATACTCTCCTTTTCCTTGATAAAAGATAGCGACCTGCCGGGATGCAGCTTGACAAAAACCGCTAAGCGTTACGATAATCGAGATTTTAGCGGAATTCGAAAGTCCAAAAACATTAAAAACCAATCTATAAAACTACAAACTACCCCATAAACCAGCTATATTTCCAGATGATGTCCAAAGCGCCACCAACCATGGCGCCGCCGCCGATCCCGCGCGTTATCCCCCCGCTCGGCCAGGGGCTGATGCGTCGCGACAGTGGCGAGTACGAGAACGAGCCAATGATTGACGACGCGCATCCGTACGATTCGAAAGTGGTACCCAGCACTCGCTTGTAGATAAGGCTTGGCGATCGCTAAACCGTTTTCTTTTCTATTTCTAGTCATTGGCAGCATTTACTCCATTAATTTCCCGATTTTATAGATTTCAAAAAATCCGCAAAAGCCTGAAGCTTTTATAAAAGCTAGGTTATTTTAGTTTAATCGAAAAAACCATGGCTATTTCATTGTACTTCCGGTGCTCCCTCAAGAACATTCCATTTTCTCTCCCTCCCCCCTCAAATTGGATGTCAGCAACACGACGGGCCGACCAAATGGGTATTTATCGTTTACATCGTCTAAATGTATTCCTAAAATGTACATTGCCTGCTTGCAAAGTGTGATATAATGTGCTACTCTTTCGCGCAACAATAAAAATGCATAGAAAAGCCGCAACGTTGAATCAAAAAGATATTCACAGCAATATGTTTATTTAAATTCACCAGAACAAGGATTAGTATCACTTTTCGGGGACCCCAAATGTTACAGGAAGTGGTGAGAGAATAATTCTAGAACATTCGGGATAATGTTAAAAGTCACAGACCCGTAGAAATTAAACATACCCTGTCCCTTGTGATGGTCACAATACAAATTTCATAGGTAAAAATAAGAGAAAACAATAGATTATGAGGTTAAAGCTAAGAATAGAGCTAGGTTATTAGAGGTTGTAGAACCATGCGGCGCCGTCGAGCCTGAGACGAGATGCCTGAAAAAAATGGATTAATAGACGATTTGATCCACTAAGCATTATAAACTCAAAAATATGTAAAACCCCACCTATCGCCTGGCAATGATGCGCTCCATTTGTTGCATCATGGGAGCTATCTTGCGACTGTATTCTTCAAACGCATCAGCCATCCCTGAAAAAAGAGGATTACGGAGTATAGATCAAACCCTTTAAACGTCAGTCCGCTAATGTTCAAAATCTACCAACCTTTTGTAAGCAGCCATAGCTTCTTGTCGCCCTGAAAATAAAGGAAAATTAGTAGGAAAGCTGCAGTAGCGAGAGAATATAGAATAAGCGTTCCTGAAACTCACTTCGCTCTCTCTCCATCTTTTGGCGACGAGCCTGGCGTTTATCCTCCTCAGCATCCAAAATTGCATTTTGCGCGAATCCTGAATTGACAATGAAAAAAGGGAGCCTAATAATTCGAACCTCGTTTAAGCTTAATTCCGGAAGGGTCGCACGGTTTGCTGGAAGTCGCGTGGATCGATGCACAGCTGCGAATCTGAAATAAAACAGTCGGGTCATTCAATAACTTTTAGTTTACCTTTATCTGGATACTGATCGTCCCTGGGGCCACGCCAGTCGAACTCCGGCAGCTCGATATCGACGATCGGGCGAGGCTCCTGGGTCGCTAAAAAGAAATATCTGTCTGGGAAGCTTGAGGCGCCCGAAAACTGCATAAAACTGAGAAAAGTAATTTCTAAAAAAAATCTAGCTATTAAAAATTAAAACGCACATCTTTTGGTCATGAACTGCGACGAAGTTTCAGCCGGTTCTTCGGTGGCCGACCCAGAGGACGGAGAATCGGCGACCAGGAGCGACCGATCCTTCGGTTCTCGTTTGGGACGTTTGCGTGCCTAAACCAAAATTTGATAACTCGAAGTTCAGCAATACCTTGTCAGCTTTTGGCGGGCGTCCTCGCTTCCGCGGTGCAGGCGTTGGGATCGGTACTAAACGAATATATAGTAAAAATTGGCATAACAATCAAATAATGCCAAAAATTTCTGTAATTCATACCAGGAAGAAGCACAGGCAGATCTACCGTCTTTTGCGAAGCGAAAATATCGTCGAATGAGCCGAAGCTGGTTTCTAAAAAAGAGCATTAATAAAAAAATACGTGAATACCTGGTGAGATGGAGCGCGACCGGTCGGGAGAAGTGCTCGAGCTGGGTGCACTGATTTCTAAAAGAGTATATAGTTAATGTAGAAGATAGGAAACGAGAAACCTTGCTTAGGGGTCCCGAGGTCGACGTCGAGGTGCGGATCGCCCAGATTCGTTCTACCAGCGCCCAAAACGCTTCTGCGCGATGGTGAATGCGAACCATTATCTAGAAAACAGAAAGTTTGATGAAAACAAGAAATGATTACCAAGCTCCGGCTTCATTTCGGTTTTCATCGGCGTGGTTGAGCGGGGCGCGGTTTCGGGGACGCTCTCGAACACTGAAAAACCAGAAATAAAGATCGGGTAAAAGGAGAATGTTATTTTTATACTTATAAACGAACATTTGGGTAGTTGGAAACGATTCCTGAGTATTTGCCATGGAATGAGACCCTTTTTATCATAGGCCCAGGTTCGCCTTGTAATCAAAAATAAATTTTAACTATGCTTAAAGCCGAGAAACTAAAAAAGCTAGAAAAATGCTTGAAATGTTAAAATTTGGTCATTTAGGTCGGAAATGAAGTATTTCTTTCCCACTGCGAACCTTGGAAGCTCGTAAGCCGACGTAGTTTTCTTATATGTCGATGCTGGCCTAGTAATCGAATATAACATCTTTCTATTTTATACCGCTTTTAAACATCTTCACTAAATTTAAAATAGAAAGACTAAAAAAGCTAGAAAGGCGTTTGAAAAAAAGTCAAAATTTTGGTCATTTTGGGTTGGGAAATGAAGCATTTTCTTTCCCCTTGCGAATCTACTCAAGGATCTTGGAAACTTGTAAAGCCGACGAACTAAAAAGAAACAGAAAAAACAGATACGAAACCTAAGCAAAGAAAATAAAGCAAAAGAAATACCGGGGTCTCTCAACTTTGGCGGTCGGCCCCTGCGCGCGGGGATCTTGTTGCCCTTCTTGACGATTGAAGCCAGCAGGCGTTTTACTGAAAATTACTAGTTTGCTTTAGCGAACATCAGGAAGCATTTCACGAGAAAAACCACAAAAAAGAGGAGTCGTTAAATAAAAGGTATTGCCATAGTAAAAAGCTTTCAAAAGAAAAGGGTAAGCTCCTGATAGCTGATAAAAGAAAATGATTGCGCAAGAAAATCGAAAATTCCGCGGCGAAATAAAACGAAACGCACCTTTGAAAGCGTTCGGGTTGTACATCGGACGCTTGTGTAGTCGAATGTATTTTACAACTGAAACAAAATAATTGAAGAGTTATAAAAAACTCAATATACCAGGTTTCAGGTCGTTTGTCGAGCTTTCGGCGTTCGCGTCCTTTTCCGGCTCTTCGGTATCTTCTAAAATGTTTTAGATGAGAAGAACTACTTTTGCGATAAAATGAATTTTATTTGGTGCCTCTTCCTTTTATCAAGACAATTAAATTACTGATAATTAATAACATTACCTCGCACTTTCTTCGGCCTTCCGCGTTTTCCTGGGATGCGAACGACGGCGTGAGGCTTCGAAGGCATCGACTTCCTCTCTAAAATCACAAATATACATTAAATGCATAAGAATTCGAGAATTAGAAAAATTTATAATTCAATAATTTAATTGTAATTTAAAAACCATAAATTTTAGGCCAACTTACCAGTTTTCAAGAGTTCCTCATAATCGCGCAGCTTCGACGAAACGACACGTTTGCGCAGCATATCGTTTGTAGCGCCTAGAAAACCAACATTGAAAAATTAACTGGACACTTTTCAAAGCGCTACTAACAACACGTAAAACTAATTAATGAAAATGTTTACCGTTCTTTTGCGGGCTTTTTCGTTGTGGGCTGTTGGGTTCCGAGGCCATTTTTGAGGTGCCTGAAACGTAATTCTTATTTAGAGAAATAATATAGGTAATAAAAAGTAGAAAAATAAATAAATAAGTAGATAAAGTAAAGAAGTTAATAAAACTAATAAATTTTAAGACTGAAAATAATCGCGCATTTCGATATAGAATTTCAAATCGGCGCGGGCAGGTGCTCGATAAGGGGGGCGGTGTTCGCCCCTGGGTGACAAAATCGACTGCAAAAATATCGAAACGCATTAATGCGCGAGAATAGATAGCTATTTATATTTTTTACAAATTGGAAATTGATAAAAATAAATTACTAGAAAAAGGAAATAATTAAAATACTGTATATATTAAATTTATAGACCAAAAAGCTCACCCGGCTCAACGTAATGTCCGGTAACCTTGTTCCGTTTTCCCTTCAATTCCGAGACACCGTCCGGAAGGTCAATCTTGAAGCTTTTTCGGCCTCGTCCGTCTTTATTACGCTCTAAAAAGGATCAATTTTATTTTGGGATAATTTTCTGGTAAATATATTAGTAAAAGAGTGGCTAGCGGTTTAGGGTTTTTACTGGATTTCCTACGAAAAAAAAGGGTAATTTAAATCGAACAAAACAGAAATAAAAATAGAAATAGAGATAAGGGAGCAGAAAAATGAAAGTGGCAACGAGTGCAGCCTGCCAAGCGGCACAGCGGAGCGAGATGTAGTTTTTTCGTCGACTACGCTACACACCAATACACATCTCAAGCCAGAAGCGCTCGGAACATTTGTTACAATTGGTGATCGCTTTGAAGTCGTGCGACAAAAGTGCCTTTTGAATGCGGTGCGTGTGTGTTGCGGGGGAAATAAGGAAAACGGGTAAGCTTTTAATTCCATTCAAATTAAATTTTAAAAAGTTTTTAAAAGATTTAAATGCGAAGCGTGTGCGTTGCGGCAAAGCGTGGAAGCAAGAAACACAAACAAGAAAAAAAAATGAGATTTCTAAACCTACTATTCAACAATGTTTTTGGGGGTGAATCCGGCTCGACCCCGGCAACGGCCAGCGCCTCGGCAAACGATTTTACCGTGGTGCCTGGAAGGCCATTTTTATTTAATTAATTTATCAAAAAGGAATAAAATATAGTAATATTTTTAATGTTAGTCAAATCCAGGTAGCTCTCACCAGGCTTGCTGTTCATATTAGCATCGCTCGAGCCAGGATCACCCGAGGAAGCATTCCGCTTCGGGCTAGCCGTGGAAACGGCGTCCATATTTTTTGCAAGACTGGAAATAAGGAAATGGAAAGGAAAAGGAAAATGTGATAAGATCTCCATTCAAAAAAATTGGAAGCCATAATTTAGGGAAAAAGGAGAAACTTTGGTCCTTGAGAAATGCTAACAAATTTCATAGGTTCTTCTTTTACGTTACTTTTCCCGATAGAAAAACTAGAAAGCCTTCTGGCGCTAATAAAAAACAATTACAGTAATGTCATGTCATAAATAAATTCTTTTAGTATTTTTGGACTTTGGATCTCTTCAAAAATATTTAAACTTTGAACCTCTAAAGCTGCTGAGCTTCAGAAAACCATTTTCCAGGAATTATTTTCCTATCAAGTAACCTTTTCACATTTCTAACATTTTTTCTAACAAGCTTTAGAAACTAAAGATACGATTCATACTAATGAAACTCTGAAAAGAAAAAAAAAAGGAAAGGAATTTCGTAAGTTTTGTCTGTTGGTGCCTAAATAATCAATATTAGGAGTTTCTATTTTTTTTCTTACTAACCCTTCTTAATTTTTGCTTAACGATTAATTATATTATGTAAGTAATCCTAATAAATATAAACTTCATTATTAAAATCCCCCACGTATCGGCATAAGATCTGGATTCGGGCCCTTGGGTCGTGGCTCAACTAGGGGGAGCGCGCTCGCATCTGCGCCGCGGCATTCAAACTAGCAAGTGTAGAGAAAATTTCCTAGGGCCAAAAATAAGCAGATTTGGTAGATTTTAGCCGATTTTATAGTTGTTACACAGTTTCGCGATTTTTAGAGACTAAATAAAAATTTTATCGAATTTTAAAAAACGGGGTCAGATGGGGAATAACTTTTTGCGTGAAAATTTGCGCTCATTTTAGGATTTCAGTGTAAAAAAATGCCCGAGCGTAGTTTTTAAGAATTTTCGGAATTTTCCTAGTAATATTTTAATTAAGTTGGTGTATAAAATTATTTTAGGGATTTTAATCGGGCGTTTTGCGTTGGTTTTCACGGCCGAATTGGCTCTTGGGGTTTATAATTTATTAATGCGCGCTAAAAAGTGCTTATACGTTTTAATAAAATTTAGGGGAGAAAATTAATTTGTATAGGTTTTGTGTGATTTGAGGGTGGGAGAATTCGGGCGGGGTGCGGGACCGGGGGGTGTGTAGAAAAAATAGGGCGAAAGGAGGAGAGGCGATCGATCCGAGAAATAGTGGGGAGAAGGCGGAGGGGGCAGAGCAGCCCGCATAATTTACCAATAATTTATGTCTAAAAATCGGCTTTTTCAGGGGTTATTAAAAGTGGAAATTGATGAAAATAATGAGGAAAATTCGAGGCCTATCAGATTTTCTAAAAACAGTTATCAAAAAAGCGCAAATAACGCGAAAATCAGAGACTTTTTGTATTTTTCCTTCTTTTTGTATATAAACTAGCATACAGCTAGTTTTTAAAATAGAAAACACTTAGCGTAATATTCAAAAAATTTTAAGCTTATACTTAATGTAAAAATTCGAAACGAAAATATTATTACAAAATTTTGCGGAGCCTTTTCTTGAAAAACCTAAAAATTGGCAGGAAGCATTAAAATTTCAATTTCTTATGAAAACCACTAGGAATAAATCTCATTTATTATTACAAGCTTTTTGACCTTGATTTAATTGTAGAAAACTTGCAATGAAAATATCGGTATCGATTCAGGCGGCGCACGCTTTTTGCGGGCGGGGATAGGCTAGCGGGAAGAGAACAAAGCTTGTTGAATCTTTAATTAAATAAGCGTAGGGATTAAAAAACTCATAAAACCAATTATATTTAATTTAATAAATAATATACTATGTAGATTTCATTAAAAAACCCTAATAGAAAAGGAAACTCTTCCTCGTATAAGTTTTTTGCAAAAAATGGTGGGTTTTTATAATTTTCAAAGTTGTTTTAACAATAACCCTTTCGATCTTGAGTTAATTATCATAGAAAATATATTATTAAGTTCATTTACAGTTTTAAAATATTACAACGACAATTTTAGAAAATTTTCCATACAATTTCGATACCGCGTTTTTGGCCCCATCGCCGATGGTGCAGTTTACATAATTTTTTTTATGCGATTTAAAACACGTTGAAATTTGTTTGATAACTCTGTAAATAAATCGAACATAAATTGGCATCGCGAACACTGGGAAATTGGGAAATTTGTGGGAAATCAGGCATAAGCAAATTGGCAAATTGGCACAACTGCGTCGACCTCTGTAATAAACCTACCCTGGCCCCCCGGGCCGATTATCATCGCGTAACCGGAGTACCAATGGCATCTGGTATGAGAATCGTCAAAATCAAGCAGGGGGGAAGAACATTTTATTAATAATTCAAAATGAATTGGCAATATCGGTGAACAATAATTTCCTTAAAAAAATTGCCGCAGGTTGTTGAATGGAACATCCATTCCGTTCTAGTTCCATTGACATAACGGCAAACTGCGATATTTTTCCAGGGTTCGCTTAGGCTTAGGCTTATCTTGGGCTTAGGCTTAGCTTAGGCTTAAAAACAGCACCAACGTTTCGACTTTCGAGAATTCCGAGACCTTCTTACACGCATACGGTTTTTTTTCACATGCGGACCCGTTGCCACAGTGCAAGATGTAAAACTGAATTCATACTGATTACTAATAATGCGTGTTCCTTTAAATAAAGATGTAAAATACAAATGTGAATAGTAAAATTAAAATCCTATGTTTAAGCAATTTCGAACGTCAACTGCAAATATTTCACACCGTTTTCACTCACTTTAAATAAAATTATAAAGGTTTAACAAGCTTGGTTTCTGGTCATAAATACATGATAAATGTTCTAAAAATACTCTTTTATGCTTTAATGTTCGGAACGGCTAGAAACCTGATAAACATTTATCTATCTGGATTACTTGGCAGTTATAGGCCATCCTAAAAATTACCTGGTTAGCTTTTTAATCCTTTGTTCCCGGATCTGGATAGAAACGCTTCATGCTGATCTCTCTCTCGCTCTCTCTCGCTCTCTCTCTTTAGCTGAATTTGTAATCACTGATTCGAATCAGGCAGAATCATTCCTACTCCAATAACCAGGCAAAAGTTCCGGTTCCATACAGCGTACAAGTTGTATTTTTAACCCTACCAGATATTTTCGAACCCCAGTCGAGCCCATTTTAGCACGAGGTCCCAAAAATATCTTGTTCTTCCCGGGGCCGCCCTTGCGATCTGCTGAAGCGGAATCGAGCGTAGTTATTAGTCGCATGCCACGGGGCACACGCATTTTTTGTTCCCGCTTTCCAGTCGCTTCCTTCATTGCATTTCTCGTTATTGCCTCGCTGAATTTTTGCATATTCAAGGTATTGGATAGGGATAACTGTGTTTTTTGGTTTAGGACGCATCCGTGAGAAATGGATTTATGGATCCAACTGTCCTTCCAGTACTTCCAGAAAATTAACATCGGTGCTTTAGACCCCCGGAAAGTAAGCCGAAGGTACCACCAGGTCTATGCCGCTTAAAAGAAGAGAAATGGTTGCTCTTTGCTTTCTTTTGATGGATGCACTTTGTAATTTTGTTTTGCAAGCTTCTGGCTGTCCTCATCGAGCCTCGTGACTCACAAAATTTATACAACCACGTCGATACCGGCCGTCCGAGCCCCTTTAATTTCGTCTGATTCATCTTCCTATCGCTAACCACGTTAAGCTAGGCGTTTTGCGTTTGTAGCATACCTAGGTTCAGAAAATGTAATTCGCTATGGCCTTTGCAGCGAGGAAAACGGATAAAAAAAGCCCTCACATTACCCACCACTGCATCGACTGGTGTCTACAGGGTGTCCCAAAAACGTACCCTCTCTAGCCGCCTGCAGTCGTGTCCAATTGTTACGATTTAGGTATCTATCGCCAGCTCAGAAAGGAAACAAGCATGTTTCCTTTTTCTAGGTTAAGTGACTTGATTTTGCGTTTTTATGACTCAAAAACACTGAAAAGAGCAGGTTTATGCGAGATCCGCTTTCAAACCCAACTTTAAAAATTAACGTAGAAAAACCGCGCGTTTTTTTTGGAAAAACCTTTAGTGACAAGAAAATACTAAACATTTTAACAACACGAAACTCGTTTGCTTCCCTGCCTTTTCAAAGGCTTTCGAATGGTGTAGGAACCATCCCAATCCGACCTTCCTCCGGGCCTCTAAAGGGGAGTATTTCTTGGGAAACTCAGTACTGTTGAGAATATAATTTTTCTAAATTTTAAATTGCAATTTTGAAACGAAACTTTAACCAGACCTGGTCAAGAATTTCTGATTCCCGAAATCTCGCTCACTACCAAGGGCCAAGGAAGCCCGCAAAAACGAAATGGCGTGGCGCTGCGAACTCCCGCAAAAACGGTGATGGCCATTATTGGGTGAGCGAGTGGTTGAAGTGTTAGAGTTTTCCTCCTCCCCCTCCTCCGCGTCGTCGGGGTGGAAGGGCAAGAGGGCCGCTCGAATCGAGGAGGGGATGCCCGAAAATGGAGTCTTTCCTCGCTCCCTATCCTCCTCCCTCTCTTTTCTATCGTCGAAGAGGAGGGGTGGTGTTCGCCAGGCATTGAAAGTGGAGAGAATGGCAGAAAATGTGTGGCGAGAGTGAGAGGGGGGAGAGATGGAGAGGGGAATGCTCTGATCTTTCTCCTTTTTGCCCCCCAACAGCAGAAATGCCAGAAAACAGCCGGGGCCCACACACCGGAGAGAGGGGCCCGCACCTCTCGCATCCCAAACACACACCCATCCTGTTGGCCTTTTCAGTCATATTTAAATAACAATTGACAGGTTTTTTATACCTGGGTCTCTGTTTTCCGTAGCTTTTTTGATTATCCGCAGCCTGGCTCTATGGTATCCGGAATTTTCACGGTTTTCGGAAATTTGATTACGGTCGTCTCTCTCTCTCTCTTCCTCTCTCGCCTTGCTGTCTGTCGCTCTCTTGTTCTCGTTTTCTCTCGTTCTCTCTCTCTCTCACTCTCTCGCTCTCTGATTTATCTGAATAGCTTATTGGC